CAATCACAACCACGGCATTGTCGACACAAGAGATACTTTGAGCTATCGTACTGGACATCTTGATGTCGATATTCACCATCAACTTGTTCGTGGATATTCCAAAGTGGACAGCGATAAGAATCCCGCACCAAGCGAAAGATCAGAGGAATAATCGTAAGCAGCCACCACATGAGAAATGATCGTTGTAGTCTAGTGCTGGGGTTCTTATTTATTTCTAAACAATTGCTGATGTCATCGGAGAACGCCATTTAATATATGCCTACGATCTTGACGGTGCCTTTGACTTTCTTTCGTAGATCAGGGCGTGAGGAGATTGGGTCGCTCCGCAACCATGATTCTAGTCCAATTTTTGTGGTACAGGATAATCTAAATGGTGACATGTGCGCCATAATTTTATCATTTACTACTTTAAGGATCACATTCTTTAGGGCCAAGTCAAAATTGACTTCTATCTTTTCATCTTCCGTTAGCATCAGACACTCGCTGTTACTAGTTTTATCTTTACAGCCACAACACTGATTTTCATCAATTTGGTGGATCTGTTTACACACTTCAGATGCGTAAATCAAAATAAGTTGCTTTTCGGCAAATGTGAAGGGGTCCATGATTTCGAGCAAATGATCGAGAGCTTGAATGGATCACGCTCTTTATATCTAATACCGCTCATAATTTAGCGCGTTTTGGGGAGTGTGGAACTCTTTTCAATAGTTGATTAATGAAGAAACACTTTTGTTTGAGATTTCAAAGAATTTTATTACAATATATGACTATTAGAGTACACGGCATTAATAGTATAAATGTTCAAAGTTCTCAAATTCTCTGAATGTCATGCAATGGGTTGGGCATTTTTATCCGTACACTTTTTGTGGAGGAAAAATGCCTTGCGGATGTCTTTTTCGGGGCTAGTGAAAGTTTCTCCAGTCTTGATAATCCTGTATTGGTAGCTGGGGCTTGAAAACATGGAAAAATTGCATGTCGCGAGAAGCAGTTTTCTCACAGTACGCCCACCATCAATCTCGGGGATGTAGCAGCATCTTGATTTGGAGTTTTGGAAAAAATCATCCCAAGATATGATAATGGGATGGTTGGTGAACCAAGGATTGATGGTCTGGAATGCCACGTCACTAGCAAGCTCTTGGAGGTAGATTTTCTTGTCAGATACTGAAAAGGCATGGCTTTTGACTTGGTTTATTTCCTCCATCAGTTGAATCATTTTTTCACTGTCGTTATTATTGTAAAGTTCGTTGAGGTAGTTTCTCAGGACTGGTCTTAGGCACTCGGG